CAGAATAAACAGGAGAACATTTCTAGCCACTCGACAGACCTTGGAGTTACTCTAAGAAAAAACTAGGTCGAATTTACTGTAACCAAAGTTCTCCTCTTCTTTCTTCAACGGTGACGATCCTGTGCTCCACACTTGACGATTAACCACGACGATACATATACCATTCGATAGAGAATTTCTCGCGCTACAATTGTATATATATAAACTAGAGAGAAAAGTGTCCTAGGGCACCCTGCCATTAGAAATACTTTACGGAAAGCAGTAGCAAGTGGGTGATTTATTGAACGGAGACGATCCTGTGCCCCACACTTGACCACTATCCACGACGATACATATACCATTCGATAGAGAATTTCTCGCGCTACATATGCATATGTACAAAGTAGTGCGAAAAGTGTCCTAGGGCACCCTGACATTAGAAATACTGTCTGGAAAGCCGTGAAAAGTGGATGGCTTATTTCAAGGTGACGATCCTGTGCTCTATTGTACGTTCATGTGCTTCATCCAACATGACAATTGAATATTGGTTCATATCTGGATCAATTAAATATTCTCTCAGTAACATACCATTCGTCATTTACTTAATTTTTGTTTCAGGTGATGTATAGCCTTCAAAGCGAATAGTGTAGCCAACTTCTTGTTCAAGTCGACAGCTATAGTCTTTGGCAACACGTTTCGCGACAGACATGGCAGCAACACGATGTGGTTGTGTACTGGCTATTTTTCCACGACTTGTATAACCAACTTCAGCCAAATATTGAGTTACCTGGGTTGTTTTTCCCGAACCATTAAATCCCGAACAATTAAAACTTGATTATCATGGACAGCTTTTAGCAGCTGTTCTTTCAGACGATATATCGGTAAACTTTCTCGCTGCTCCATAATAGTCATTGTTGCATCATAGTATGGTAGTTCAGTTTTATCAATACAATTTGCTGCGAGCATCTCTTTCGATTGTATTTGTTGTTGTTGTTAACGATCGTTTGATAGTAAATCAATTGATCTATCAGGATTTCTTCCCATACTATACGAAGCTACTTTCAATACTTTCTTCATCACGCAATTTTCTTGTCATTTCTTCATTCAAATCTTCACCGGTTTTTTTATCAACATCTTTCATTGATAAATTCATTTTTGTTTTGGTATATGCAAGAACTTTTATTTTGACCTTTTGATGCTTATTACAACATCTGATACGTTATTTATTAGCTCTTTATAGATATTAGATATATGAAGAAGACCTTCTGTACGATTTCGAAACTTTTCTGATCGGACAAAGCAACTCCACTGCATTATACTAATAACAAGACCGTCGTAAATAGTGCCAGCTTTGGGCTCATCCAACATTTGCTTTTGTTTTGGTTGTCGCGGTGAATCATTATCATTTTTTCGCTTATGATCTTCATCAATATATTTCTTTTTTTTCGATGATCGATGAACCGGAGAAACAGATCTATCCAATCACTACAACTACTGGTATCACTAACCGAAGAAAGACGCTGGCGTTTACGATCTTTGTCATGACTTCGTATTTACCCTCATCTTCCTTATCATCATGGTGCCGATGACGTGATTTTTGATGGTTCATTTGGTAAAGCCAAAGCTGAACATAAAGCTTCGCGTAATGATGTATCGTTAACCTGATGTTGTTATTGTGTTGTCGAAGATTTTTTGTGGTACGAAAGTCTTGGTAAATGTGTGTTCATTTTTTGATCACTTAAAAGTAACTATTGAGCGTTCAAAGCAGCTACTTAGACGCAGACTGTCCTGCTCTCTCTGAATATATGCTCAGAATTTTTTTCCGGCTTCAGGTTGGTTAACTCTGAAGAAACACAAAGGAGCTGAAATGATATTTGTACAAAGCGAAGTAGATCTTTTTTTGAAACAGTCTTAGTTGGACATCTTTGTAGAGCAATTAATTCTCTACAAAATGAGGTACCACAGTAGGTTAGAGCTTAAAAGAACGAAGACGTTTGGCGTTTTTCTAAGACATACTTTCTACGTAAAACGGTGTTGTTGCAAAAACTATCTTTTGAAATTAGCTTATAGAACACAGCAATTTCGGACCTTTGTTGTGATATGTGAAATGAATAGTAAATAGAACATTTTGTAGAGTGAACTCCGCTCTACAAACTGTTATATCAAAAGATGTTTTATATTTTGAGTTGAGTAAGTTTTTATCAAATACAAAACATAATTAGTAAAATTATCTACAGATCTCATTTTCGATCCGTTAAAGCATTTGTTCATAATTAACCAACCTGAAGCGAGTAAAAACTCCTGAGCACAAAATTCTACGTCGACTAATTAACCGCCTTTGACTCTCAATAGTTACTATTAAGTGATCGAAAAATGCACGAACATGTTGTGCTAAGACTTTCGTGCCCTAGATTATGTCTATTATATTCTACGCACCAAACTGTGATAATGAAAACTATTTTAGACTTTCAAACCTTTTCCCGTCTAAGTTATAATGTTTTTGAAAGAAGTCGATTCGTTGTTCCATAAAAACGGACACCTATAGTATTTTCGTGCTTTAGCGGCCAAATCAAGTCGAATAGCTCTGATTCATATTTTATTCAGAAGTCGAGATAAAACTGCGTCGAACAATGTATTTGGTGTTGAAAACAACTTGAGTTTAAAATTTGAAAAGTTGAATTACTTGGAAATTTCTATTTTTCGAAACATGAAATTTTGATCTAAAATTCAAATAACTTTTGCGCAAAATGCCGTGCTAACCAAATTTTGACCCAAGACAGAGGAGAAGATTTTATATAAAAAAACCTGTTTTTCTCCGTACTCGATAGACTTCTTCAGAATCTAACACCATATTCTTGTGCGCCAGAGCTAAGGCTATCCAACCAAATATTAAAAGTGGTCAATTGTAGTTGCAGATTTAAAACCTTATCCGACGGGGATCCGTTACAAGAATTTGGGCCAAAGTTCACGAGAACTAATTAATATTAATCGACAACTAGCCTTGATTTCTAACTGTATCCCTTATCGCAAAGACAACAGTATACATGACGACCCGAATCAGAGTCTGACTCCAATTTTAGTCTTTGGTATCTTTTCCTTGTTGAGAAAAAAACTTTTAAAAGAACTACCAGAATTGACGAAATCAGCATTTGTTGTTCTTTTAATTTTAGCATCATTATCGTACATTTGAATTTCTTCAATTATACATCATTCGAACAAACACAAAAGGCTGAACAAAACCTGATTTGTTCAAGTTTAAAATAATTTTTCATTACCGAAAAACCTTAAACAAAGTGTCACGAACTTTTAAACTGTTTATAGTAACATCACAAGAAGAAATAATTATAAACAATGGAGTTCGAATACTGTTCACATGAAACATATCACGAGGAGAAAAACAGAATTGTGAAGTAAAATGACTAATAATAATTTACACGTTCATTCAGCAGCTTTTTAACGATAGTTACATTCATAGTATGTCCAAAAGATGCTGCCAAGAACTTATATTTCCTGAATCCAGTGAATAAGCCAGTTGATATTATTTCCGTCTGCCGTTCAAGTCTATTTCCAATCTAATCCCTACTCTTGACATTGGACAAAACATCCATAAAGACCAGACAAGGTAGGACAACATTTAAGGTTTACAAGACACGGAGGATTGCAATTGTTTAGAATCGGAGTAACCAGTGGTGGTAACGGAGTCGCAAACGAATCGGAGTTCGAAGCCGGACACGTACCATTAACGTTTGGAAGTTGACAAGTATAAAGACTAGTCGGTGGACTAGGAACAGAACCAGTTGTAGCAGGATGACCAGTAATAGTAGGAATAGTAACAGTAGGATGAGGATAACTGATCGTGGGGACAGTGAACGTCATAGGACGATAAGTGACTGTAGGAACAGTGAATGTCATAGGACGATAAGTGACCGTCGGGACAGTGAGCGTCATCGGACGATCACTGACCGTCGGGACAGTGAACGTCATCGGACGATAAGTGACCGTGGGGATAGTGAACGTCATAGGACGATAAGTGACTGTAGGCACACTAATTGGAACGCGGGTAATAGTGAAATTACTAGGAATCGTAAGACCATTGATAGTAGGAATACTGATTGGTATAGGATTGTGAGTAATGGTCGGAACAGTGAACGTAGGAACAGGATGATAAGTGGGAACAGAAAAAGTAGGGACGTCAAAAGAAGCATTAAAAGGGCAACATATAAAACCAGTAGCACAAAAATTGAAATTCAGATCCGGTGAGCAGATATCACCCCCAACCACACGTTGCTTTCGGGATAGAGCAACATCACCGCTGTTATTCCATTCATTGTCATGTTTAAGGGGCCTACCATGCATTCTGACAACCATTAGTGCCAACAATCAATGTTGCCAAGTTTTATCCAAATAACATAGTACTAAATTCAAAATTCTACATCAAAGCGGGATAAGGCTTAGTCTAACAGAGCCAAACCCGGGTAAGCCTTCAGCCTTACCGAGCCTAGTAGTTCCGCCGCCTCCGTACGTATCTATGACTCATATAACATTTTATTCAGTTTTTCAGTGGCTATTTTGTATATCAAACACAAGTTGGATCCTCGTATGCATATGGAGAAAAAGTGCTCAAAAGCTCGCTGATACGGTCTTTGAAGTCAATTTGTCTCTTGTAAAAATAATTTCTTCCTATTAGAATGATGTATAAGGATTGTTCGTAGAGTGCTTTATTCATTTTTTCTCTAGCTATTTTTTCATATCAAGGTTTGTGTGAAACTTATGCTGGATTTTTCGAAAATATTATTTTTTCTAACAGCAACGTCACTTGATGGAATCTCAAAATAAATTACGTTAAAAACGTATTTTGAACTTATTTTTCATAAGAGCAACTGGAACATGTGGCCAAACGTTTTTTCGACAATAGTCGAGTCAAAATAAGCGAAAAAAAACGAGGGGCCATTTTCTGATGAAGTCAATCCCCTCCTTTACTGCATTTCAAGTTCGGGATTGGAGTCTCAGAAATGCTTCCTTCAATATGAAAAACCCGAATTGAAATTGTCAAAAAAACTGTTTTCGACATCAGTATTCGTCTGTATCAATATTGTGGGCGTCCAGTTTACTGATGCTGGTGCATACATGCTCTCTAGCATTTCCAGTGAACCGTGTCTCAGTGTGAATACATGCTATTTTTCAACTTAACTGTGGAGAGGAGACAGACAATCTTTACTTTTTTCCTGTTAACCGTGTAGCCTCTTTCTCTCTCTGCTCTGAGTGTTTCGTCTAATAAAAGGGAACTTCAGAATCTGTCCCACGGTTAAGGTAAAAAGTAGCATGTTACNCATACTGAGACACGCTTCACTGGAAATTCTAAAGAGAGACAAGGAGAAAAGGATACTTTTTGCTTGGTCATATGTGCACCTTGAATAGTCATTACTGCGTATATAGAAACTATTGCAGTACATGTAGACAAATCATTCAACTCCATAACTCATATTAACAACAACCCGAAAACACAATTTATTTATATCATTAATTGGTTAACATGGCTCTCGTCCTTATGGTTCTAGCACTAATGGTTGTCAGAATGCATGGTAGGCCCCTTAAACATGACAATGAATGGAATAACAGCGGTG